TGGAGGAAGGCGGTGGAGAGCAGAGAACCTAAGGGCTTCGAGAACGTGCAGGCACATCAAATCAGCTCAAGCGGACGAGACGCACGGCCGTCGGCTCACCGGGAGGCTCCCGAGCTGAAGGTCCGTATGCTCCACATACCCGATGATACGAGGGAAGGTGGAGAGCTCCTGCTTGTGTCCGCGGATGACGTCCTCTCCCTTATCCTTCCCTGACGTCTCCTTTCCTGCACTCTCCTCTATTATCGTCACCCGCCCAGCAGCCTATTAGAGCCCGTCCGCAACGCCTTCCTCCTCTACGGCAGCCAGTCCCCCGAGGCCATAGCCATCACCGAAAAATCCATCAACACTCTCCCCCTCGAGACCCTCTCTTCCTCTGTCGGCCCCATCCCAGAGCCAGTCCTTGCCGGCATCCTGTGGGACATACTTCAGCTTCTCAACAAGATGCACGACGTGTGCGGCTGCGTTCACAACTTCGTCGACGTCCGTTCCTTCCTCCTCAACTCCATCCATGGCGATCTCAAGATCACCAACTTCGCCTTCTGCTTCTTCCCTGGTCGCATTCCTGGATCCGATCTGAGATGCCGGTCAGTCTTTGTTGCCTGAGCCTGCTGCTGCTGCTGCTGCTGCTGCTGCTGCTGCTCCTCCTCCTCCTCCTCCTCCTCCTCCTTGTCGTTGCCCCTTCTGGTCGTCCTTCCCTCTCCTCTATCTGCGCATTGCTCTGACATTACTCGTTCTACTTTACCTCTCTTTACCTTCCATTCTCTCTCTCTCTCTCTCTCTCTCTCTCTCTCTCGCTCCCTATCCCTCCTCCCTCTCCTTGTCCTCCCTCCTTCCTTCTTCCCTCCTTCACTCCTTCCCTGTCCTCGTTCGTTCCCTGTCCTCCTCTCTCTTCCTCTCTTCTCTCCTGCAGCACTACCGAGCGTTGGAAGGGCGACAAGAGAAAGTTCATGGGGCCGCTGCGCCTCAAGTCACCTGAGAGACTCTTGGGCCTTGAAGTTTCTTATCCCTCCGACATCTGGAGCTTTGGGGTCCTCGCTGCCTGGCTCGCCAAGGTGGACTTCTCCTCCTTCCCCGCTCTCTCCTCCTCCGTTCCTGTTGCTCCTCCTCCTCCTCCTCCTCCTCCTCCTCCTCCTCCTCCCTTTGTCTCTGTCTCCTGATTCTCGTTCTCTTCTCTTCCTGCACACGCTCATGCTGCTGCTGCTGCTGCTGCTGCTGCTGCTGCTGCTCCGCTCCCTCCTCCCTGCCTCCTCTGCTCTGCATAAAGACTGTCATCCAGGGTAAGTTTCCACTTCCTATCGACCCTCAATCTACCAAGCTCGCGTTCAAGACGTTTGTCATCGAAGAAGCTGTACGGCCCCTCCCCGTCGACCCTGAAGGTTTCACTGCCACCATCTTCGATCACTCTTCCTTCCCCCCTTCTGTTGCTCATTCACTCCCTTCCTCTCGTTATTCTTACCCTCCTCCCTCGTTTCTGTTGCTCGTTTAATGCAAACTTGCCTCTGCTCCCTGCTACCTGCTCCGTGCTCCCTTCGTCCTCTTACCTCATCTGACAGATCCTGATCTCCCTAACACGAACATGCGGATTGGTAACCCAGCAGACTTCACTCCCTCAGTGAGGAGGATCCTGCAGGTCAAAGACAAGCTCCTCCTCCTCCTCCTCCTCCTCCTCCTCCCCCTCCCCCTCCTCCTCCTCCTCCTCTTCTTACTCCTCCTCCTCCTCCTCTTCCTCCTCCTCCTCTTACTCCTCCTCCTCCTCTTACTCCTCCTTCTCCTCCTCCTTCTCTCCTTCCGTCCTCCTGATTCTGCTCCTGCTCTTCATGTTCCCGCTGCT